GTATATCGAGTAAAATCGCTTGCCATTGAACTTGTATCCGACATAATATCGACGTTGTCAATTGAGTGATCGACTGTCTAATCTGAAAGTGGAAAGTGTGACAAGTTAATTCAATTAAATTCATCTCACATGCAAACGTGTACGTTGAGTGTATCCAACATTATACTTTTTGTAACAAAAGGCACATGTATCACCATTTACCTTCTTCATGTGTCATTCACTTTTCTTTAAGTTCAACAAGTCTCTTGGTTTGTTTGTGGAATTGAGCCGACATCTCTGTTATATCTTCTACAACATGTTCGTAGCCTGATCAAAGAATTTAACTGCTTTGGGAACACAAAACGCGTAAAAATTTCTTATACCTTCACTTATGCTTGGTTTTATGTGTGTTTCTATCAAATCTCGTCGATTTTGTAGTTGACACTAGGGAATATTAAATAAGACCCATGTTTATACAGGGAAAACTATAGCCGTGGCAAACCGTACGCGTGGATTACTTACGATACGAATGGCTTCGCTCCATTGATAATCTTTACCGAGCAAAGGTATGGCCTCTTCGGGATCCGTAATTCTAAAAATAAATAAAATAGCCGACCCAAAAAATTGTTTGTGGCACAGCACGAGGCATGTCTTTGTCACTGACAAGTTTGAGATAGTTAAAAAGATTATAGTTATCCAGAAGGCACCTTACGAGCAATATCTAACTATCAATAAACTGTATTTAATTGTACAACGAAACATTTAGACGTTTTGTCGTAGAACTTTGTTAGCTTGTGCAAACGATTTAATATTAAAAATAATTTGGTCCAACGAAAGAATAATAATTGCTTTATTCAAACCCTCTTAAAGTTTCTTGAAGCCTTCACCGTGAAGAAAGAGCTTATTGTTAATAAACGTAGCATTAAGAACTTGGTTTTACCGTAAGACTTTTACTACGAGAGTAAGCCTATTGTAAGGAAACTTTGTTATAACACATTATGTTTGCTGGAAGCTAAGAAGTCGTGTTCAAATAATAAGCGATACCGTTCGCTAGAAAGTATTATGTTCGGTAAAAACGTTGTTGTGTTAAAAGTGTAAATTGTATAATAAGTGAAACGAGTCTTTCCGTAGTGGGTTTAATATCGAATTCGTAGGTAACCGTCTTTGCATTAGATTTTTGCGGTGACTATAAAAACAATGTCAGCGCCATTATTGTCGCCGGAGACTGACTACTTACTGAATATATCCTAATATAGTGGGAGGTTTGTGACAAGGACATACCCAAGCCAAAAATTTATCATATGCTCAAATACGATACTTCATGACACATAGAGCTATGGTCATGTATAAGAAGTTACATATTGTTTCGATTGACTGCTTCTATATTTTCTTCACTGCTACATTTACAATTAACGCTTTCAGCATTCTTTTCTACGTTGAATTATCGTTAGAGGCATACTTCAATTGTCATATTATAAGAACGCTTATCTTGTGCCTTATCTGTGGCTTTTTAAAAGGAAATAGAGTATTTCGTTAAATCTTGCGTTATTCCATTTGACCCCACTTAGTGGGATGATAATTATCCTGCAAGTTGGATTTAATAAAAAAATCATTGGTTTAAAATTTCCGATGAGAGTGAAGACTAGATAAGTACGTTCTATTTCAATGGCATTTTGTGCTTCAAAATATCCTTTTGTGCCCTTGTTACATAACCATAGGTCTTGCCTTTTTTATGAATGATGCATGAATAATATCCTTATATTAGTTTGTTTGTTCTACAGCAGAATGGATGCAACCGTTTTTATACTTTCTTTATTGCCTTATCTCGTAGCATATTCACAAAAAACGTTATTACACTGGAAGGCTTGTGACCTGTAAAATAGTTAGTCAGACTTTCAATATTTATATTGTACGTGCAACCCTTATTGAATTTATTATTATTTATTACCGTTATCATTTTTAAGGTATACATTAGTATGTTTTTTACGGGACCCGTTCATATTAGCTCCAGCTAGTAATTTGATACTAGAGAAGCAAGTTATCAGCATAAAGCCGATAGACACAATCATATGAGTCTTTTGAACCATAATGACCGTGGACATTCTAATGCATTTATCAGGACTTCTGTTGGGAGCATTTATTTCACCGACAATTATTTCACCGGACCCCTTCTGTTCATTGGTGCGCTCGTGTTAAATATAAATAGCAAATAATTCGTTGGCTCATTAATCCTCATGTTGGGACTTTTGATGATGCTATAAAAGCATTTCCATTATCTTATACTAATGTCGTATTTTTTTTCTTGCTTCGGAATAATTTAAACCAATTGAGTGAATCATGAGAAAAAACAAACCTAATGAATGCAATCTTCAACGGAGAACACACCTAATAAAGACCTCGAAAACTCAACGGAGAACACGAAAAATGTATTAGAAAATCAGGGTCCAACCCATGTGTGACAAGACAACTACAACTACAACTACAACTACAACTACAACTACAACAACAACAACAACAACAACAACAACAACTACTACTACTACTACTACTACTACTACTACTACTACTACTACTACTACTACTACTACTACTACTACTACTACTACAACTACTACAATTCCATTACTACAACAATTACTGCAATATTATCATAGTCGTTTGTGGCGTTCCCTTGCAGCATGTCGTCCCCCTCGTTCCGTATTAATTTGGTGTATTTCAATGATGATTTTTACTTGGCAGCAAATAAGTATGCTGAATGATGAAGACAAACAAAACATATAAATTCATACGATATTAGTATACAGCAACAAGAAACGGTAAATGTTATGCAAAATAAATTATATTATTTTGAATAATTTATCGTCATAATAATAACTGGTTATTGGGCGATTACTATTATTATTATTAGTTAGTTCGCCTAAAATAACCTTAAACGTTCGAGCGAATTATTTACGTATCCATAATGAGTGATATTAATGATATTCGAATTGACATTGACCCTCCACCACCTAGGCAGGTAGATGCATGTACATTCTCACCAGATGGAAGACATCTAGCGACATATTCGGCAACCGAGGGTATAATAACTATATGGAATGTAGATACACTAGAGAAGAAGGGGAAAATATACAATTGGCAGAACACTAATGCTGTTTTAAATCCAAGAGAATATAGAGTAGAGAAGACAAGCTTTAACTCATCGAACGATTCTAAACAAATGAGTAATGTTGACTTTGCATTGTCTAATAAAGGTAAGGCCGATTATATTCTCTCTCCAAGATAAATCGTTCGAGTTAATATTGAGTCAATTATACTTTACAGGTAGCTTTGTAGCTCTAAGTACAATTAGACTTCCACAGGAATTTGAAGATCCGATTCCTTTTGAACTCAAAACTGGTGCCAACAAGGTTTTCACATATGTCGTCGATACTAGCAACTCACGCCCTATAATTGAGTCTACTTTGACGAATCTAAACGGAGCGATTAAGTTTTCCTCCGACAATACAAAGTTCATTGTGTGCGATGTACACAATACAAGAAAGAAATTGCTTTATATCTTCTC